GAACAAACTGGTGAAAATTCAATAAAGTATGTAGACTAGTTGTTACTCTTGTATCCATATTAATCACCATCCTGGTGTGACAATTGTAATTCCAGCACTTGGCAGGTGAAGGCAGGAGGATCAAAAGTTCAAGGTCATTTTTTGCAACATAGTGCGACTGAGGCCAGACTGGGCTGCATGATAGCCTGTCTCTCTCTTATACACAAATAATACCAAGATGAGATAAATCCTTTCCAAGCCATCACAGTGGTATAGACACAGCTTGTTCTTCTAAAAGAAATTAGCTTTCTGTTCTTTCATTTACAGCTTTGAATTAGTTCACCATGTTCAATCACAAACCATCTTGGGAATTTGGTTAAAGTTACCTTGAGTACTATACAATTAGTTTGAGGATTTCTTACAATTTGATCAAATGGAGATTTTGCAAAAAGCTGGACCCAGTAGCGATGCTGACAAAGAAGTTCAAGAAACAAGCATCCCAAATATCTTGAGGGTCCTTTGCTCATTTCTTCTAATCTTACCTACCGTGTTTCCTACGTCTAGGCAAAGTGGGAGGAATGAAGAAAATGGAGAGGGGGAAATATTAACGAATAGGCATTCGGTGCTCTTCTCAACCACTATTTTACCAGGTGTGTTTTCAGAGGACACACTAAGTGAAGAAGTGGAATTAAAGGAAGGGATTGGGAAGAAAGAATGAAGAAAAGAATGGAGGTTGGATAGAGGGGAAGGGAGGACATTAATTTTGTAATGGTTGAAATGTTCCTCGTGCCTGTGAGGCCCTGAAGTTCCAGGGAAGAAACCCTGCATGGGATTTCTGAGGACTCTAGAGAGGTGATATTAGAGCTGGGGAACCCAGAGTGGGTGAGAGTTCCTGAGAGTATGTACCCGGGGGGTTGGGCTGTGCCCGCGGATTGGAGTAAAGGTTACACATTCCAGCATGAGCGGGAAACAGACAAGGAATGGGGTTAGTAGGAAGCAGGAATCGTTTATTTTGACTGGGAGATTCAGCTGGAACGATAAGTAGTGCCTTAATTATGCAAAACCATGAGTACCAACCAGGTTAGGGACTTTGGACTGGATTCTGGGACTCCAGTAGAAACTCTTGAACTGAAGAGTAGCCGGATCCGAAGTCAGTGGGTAACTGGCTGAGATAAGGGAATCAGGTGTCCCAGTCTTAGCCAGCGGTGCCCCCTTCCACCTGCAGGGGGCACTCTCAAGGCCGAGCGTCCTCCCCGCCTCCTTCCTCGCTACTCCAGGTCGGATGCGCTTGGAACTCCGCTACTCTGCCTGGACGCGAAGACCTCTGGCTTCAGCTAGTGGGTCTAGACGCGCCCCAAAGCGTCACCTCCGCTCTGGCGGGAGGCTGCTCCGCCCGGTGCAGCAGCGCTTCGGGGAGCCTGCGCGCCTGCGCCGACCGGACCTTCGCAAGTAAGCTGACGCGCGTTCGAGCCTGGCTCTTCGATGAGGCGTTTTGTTTTTGTCCTAAGAGCTGCAGGCGGTAGAAAGAGGCTCCAGAGCTCCGTGACCGTAGGCGGTAGAAAGAGGCTCCAGAGCTCCGTGACCGTAGTTATGAATTCCCCTCTGTTACTCCGCCAAGCAGCAATTTCCCTAGAGTTGCGTGCTCTACCCCAGACGGTCTTCGACACTACTGAAAACCTGACCTCGAACAGTCCCAGGCAGTAATCCATGTCCAGGGCTTGTTCAGCTCTGCTCTTCAATCAGTCCCAGTTGAAGGGGACCTTGGAGGGCAGCCATACCAGTCCCTCAGTGCTCCCTCAGAGACAGTCTGTTTTCGGGGACAACTTTAGGGATTCTTACTACAGGTTTCTTTGCAACTTTGATTCCTTTAGAAATACTGCCTCCACGAGGCTGGAGAGATGGCTCAGCGGTTAAGAGCACTGACTGCTCTTGCAGAGGACCTGGGTTCGATTCCCAGTACCCACATGGCGGCTAGGAACCGTCCTTAACTCCAGTTCAGGGGAATCCGAAGCTCTCTTCTGACTTCCAAGGCTTTGCACGACACGGGTGCACTCACATACATGCAGGCAATACACTCATACACATAAAAATAATAAAATATAAAAAATACTGCCTTCTCAAAGTCTCCTCTTATATATATACTCTCTCTCTCTCTCTCTCTCTCTCTCTCTCTCTCTCTCTCTCTTCCTCTAGCTGGGTGTGGTGGCCTTTAATCCCAGGAGAGGCAGGCTGATCTCTGTGAGTTCAAGACCAGCTAGGTCCACATAGCGAGTTCCAGATCTGTAGGGGCTACTGGAAGACCTCTCTCAAAAAGACACACACACCCGTGACACAGCCTCCTGCTGTTCAAACACTAAGCCCACATATACGATAACGAACTATATACTCATTGTTCATCTTTTGGCATTTACATTCTGGTGTGGAGAGATTCGATGAGAAGAATAGAGGGGGCTGATTCAGTGTTAGTAAAGAGTTTTACAGGACTTATGGTAGATACGGAAATTATTTAGAGTGATCAGAAAAGGCTTCTCGGAGGTTTTGCTGTTTGTAACTGGCCAAGTGAACAGCTAGGCGCTCCAGACTGGAAGAAAAGTAAAGCTACTGAGGCAGAAGAGTCTGGTGTGATGAGTGTGGTGAACCATGGCAATTATGAAAAACGTTGAACATGGAAATAGGAGTCAGGTGCAGGAGGAGCTTTGTGCAGAATTTGGAAGTGTGTGTGTGTGTGTGTGTGTGTGTGTGTGTGTGTGTGAGAGAGAGAGAGAGAGAGAGAGAGAGAGAGAGAGAGAGAGAGAATTTCATATAAGGGTCCAGGCTAGCCTGGAACTATGTATATATTGATTTTGCATCTCTGCCTCCACCTTCCAAGTGCTGGGATCACAGGCTTGTGCTGCCATGCTCAGTTTGAAATGTATTTTAAGAGCAGTGAGAATCAAAGGAATAGTTTTCTGTAGAGGGCTGATTTGGTTCAGTCACTTAGGTCTATACAAATCATTATTGCACATCATAGCCCTTTAAAAATTGTAAGATAATTGACATGTTCTCTGAAACTCCTTTTCATGTCTCCCAATTCCTCTCCAAGTTACAGTTCCTCTGCCTCTCCTTAAATTTATTTTTTATTTTTGTATATGTGTGGACACATACACCACAGCACTTGTAGAGGTCAGAGGACAACTTTCATGAGTTGGTTCATTCCTTCCACCATATGGGTGCCTAGGATGGAGGTCAGGCCTTCAAGCTTGGCAGTAACTGCCTTTTCCCTCTGAGCTGGTAAGTTGGCCCACTCTGTCTCCTATCACTCCAAGGGTTTATGGATAGACTGCAAAATGTCATTTTGAACATGTTGACAGTGTAGGAAATTTTAAAAAAATGTAAATCTGTTTATATAATGAAAGGAAAGGCTTGAAGATTTATATTCAGAGATTTTTATTCAGATTCTCAGAGAGGTCCTGTAAAGATTAAGAACGCTGGCTTAAACATTTCTCATCAGTGCTCCTGTTTATTATAATCCATTACAGCAGGGCACTACTGGACACAACCAGAATGAACCCAGGCTGATTCTCCAAACTGTCTTCTCATCTATGAAACAAAAACAATGGGGTTACTGTGAGGACTGAATGACAAGATACTCAGAAAGTGTTTAAGGCTAAAGCACAATGTGTCATGGTGCTGCACATTGCTACTGTGGCAAACATCTGCATCCTTGGGTTGGAGAGACAATTCATAGATACTGCTTCCATAGCATTCTAGGATCAGTAAATCTCTATTTTGGGTCGAGTACCAGGTGAAAAAGAGACGTTTTCCAGAAGCTGATTATCTAATTGAAAGCCATGAAAGACACAAAACAGGGTGGACTAAGTGCAGAAATAAAATGCTCGTTGGTTCGAACAGACTGAATCTAAACACACACAAAATCAATACACATACATTTTCTTGATATGGAAAGGCCAATGGAAACATGGCATCATTCCTCCTACCAGACAAATCCTGAGCAGTGGTTTTATGAGAAGGGACCTATCTTTTGTGCAATCTGTTTAGAATACATTGCATGCACTGGGCATTCCTTCATGTTCAGGAACAAAGTGCACACACCCCTTTTCTGAAACATAAAGCCCTAGGACCATCTAGAGAGATGATCCCTGGCTGCTGGACCACACAAAAGGGGCGCAGGGCCCCGGCTCGCACGCCCCACACCCCGCGGGCCCCTCTCGGCCAGGGTTCGCCTCCCGGGTCCTGTGGACCCGCCCCTGCAGCGCCCTCCTCCCTCCCTCTCTCCCGCGCCCCTCCTCCTCCGCGGGCAGCCGCAAAACCCGGAGCGAACCGGCCGGGCCCGGCGGCGCATGCTCAGTGGCGAGCAGGTTCGGTTTGCTAGTAGGAAGCTCCAGCGCTACACCGGCGGCGGCCGCGGCGGAGCAGCCGGATTCCCCAGCCGCGACCTCGGGCTTTTCCCCGCCCCCGCCAGACCCCGGCCCCGACTCCGCCCCGCTCCGAGCCTCTCACGCTCGAGTCCCCTGTGGCCGAGCGGACGCCGCCGGCGGAGCGTCCCTCACGCCGACCCTCAGTAGACGCTAGTAGGAAGCTCCAGCGCTACACCGGCGGCGGCCGCGGCGGAGCAGCCGGATTCCCCAGCCGCGACCTCGGGCTTTTCCCCGCCCCCGCCAGACCCCGGCCCCGACTCCGCCCCGCTCCGAGCCTCTCACGCTCGAGTCCCCTGTGGCCGAGCGGACGCCGCCGGCGGAGCGTCCCTCACGCCGACCCTCAGTAGACTGCTCCTCGGCGGGCCAAGGCCGGGCCCGCGAGCGCAGCCCCGGCGGCGGG